CAGCATCACTACACCAACTCGAATCAGTGTATCCCACTAACTTGCATTCTTTTCCTTTATCAATTGCAGGAAAAAAAATGCCATAATCAAAAGTTCCTTTGAGATACCTTAGTATCCTCTTCACTGCTGCTAGATGTGATACCTTTGGCTTCTGCATGAATCTACTTACCATACCTACACTATATGCTAAGTCAGGCCTTGTATGACAAAGATATCTCAATGATCCAATAAGTCTTCTGTATTGGGTTGGATCAACATCATTTTCATCTGCATCTTTTGACAGTTGCAGTCTTGGTTCTGCAGGTGTCGAAGTTGAGTTGCATTCTTCTATCTCAAACCTCTTGAGAATTTCTCCTGCATATCTTCTTTGATGCATCATCAAACCTCTACTGCTCTTGTAGAATTCGATACCAAGGAAATATGAAATCTCACCAAAATCAGACATTTCGAATTCCTTGCTGAGATCACCTTTGAAGTCTTCGATCTCACTTTTATAGCTACCTGTTATCAACAAATCATCTACATAGAGACATAGTATAAGCAATTTACTCTTGCTTCTTCTTACATATACTCCATGTTCAGTTGTGCACTTCACAAATTCCTTCTCCCTTAGAAAACTATCAATTTTCTTATTCCAAGCCCTTGGAGCTTGTTTCAATCCATACAGGGCTTTATGTAGCCTGTACACCTTTCTTTCTTCGTCATGTTTCACAAATCCAACTGGTTGTTTAACATAGACTTCTTCATCTAAGGGTCCATTTAGGAATGCACACTTCACGTCCATCTGACATATGTGCCAACTATTTATTTATGCTAGACCAACAACCAACCTGATTGTTTCGATCCTAGCAACAGGTGCAAAAACTTCACGAAGCCTATTCCTTCTTTCTGTAGAAATCCTTTCTCCACAAGTCTTGCTTTGTGTCGAGTTACTTCACCTTTAGAATTTGTTTTCACTTTGTATACCCACTTGACATCAATTGCCTTCTTGCCTTGAGGCAATTCGACAAGTGACCAAGTGTTGTTGTCTTCGATAGACTTTACTTCTTTGTTCATTGCTTTCACCCACTTTGAATCCTTTAATGCTTCAGCTGCATTAACGGGTTCGACATCTGCATATAAAGCATAATTTACCAGCTCACCTTTATTATCTATTACATCATCTGATGTAATCACACAATCTTGCAATCTTGCAGGAATGCGTCTTGTTCTTTGAGGCCTGCTTGTGCTTGGTATATCTGCTGGTTCCTCTTGTCGAACTTCTCTTTCAACTTGAGTTTTTGGCTCTTCAAAAAGGATTCCCACTGAATCTTTCTTGATATTTTCAGTCCAATCCCATTCTTTATACTCATCTATGATCACGTCCCTGCTGATCACAATCTGCTTTTTCACTGGATCGAACAACTTGTAGCCTCCTGTCGAATGATATCCAACTAGAATCATTTGACTTGACTTATCATCAAGTTTTCTTCTCAACTGATCTGGCACATGTCTATGTGCAATAGATCCAAATACCTTCAGATGACTCAAGCTAGGCTTCACACCAAACCAACATTCTTCTGGAGTAATTCCTTCTAGCTTCTTTGTAGGACATCTGTTTAAAATGTATGTTGCAGTCAAAACAACTTCACCCCAAAACTCTTTAGGTAAATTCTTGCCTTTCAACATACTTCTCACCATATTCATGATGGTTCGATTTTTCCTTTCCGCAATTCCATTTTGTTGTGGAGTATAGGGTGGCACCACCTCATGCACAATCCCTTCCTTTTCACATAATCTGTCGAAGTCTTTCGACACATATTCTCCACCACCATCAGTTCTCAAAACTTTGAGCTTTCGACCATTTTGTCTTTCGACCATAGACTTAAACTTGGTAAATACTTCGATCACTTCACTTTTCTTCTTGATCAGGTAAGTCCATAGCTTTCGACTGAAATCATCTATGAATGTAACAAAGTATTTGTTACCTCCCATCGAATCCACCTAGATTGGTCCACATACATCAGAGTATATGACTTCAAGACTAGCCTTCGATCCGCTTCCTGTATCCTTGTTGAAGCTATTCTTATGTTGCTTCGCCTGCACATATTCCTCACATACCTCGTTTGGAATGTCAATTTCTGGCAATCCTGAAACCATATTTCTTCTCTTCAAATCTCTGATGTCTCTGAAGTTGAGATGGCCTAGTCTATAATGCCATATCCATTCATCTCTGCTAGTTGCAGTCGAAAGGCACTTGTGCTCCATCACATTTAGTTCAATCTTGAAGGTTCGATTCTGAGACATAAGAGCCTTCAAGATTAATCTCCCATTTGCATCAACGACTCTCATCATCTTATCTTCGATTGACACTTTATAATTCTTTTCGACCAACTGCCCTATATTGAGCAAATTGCTCTTCATGCCTGATATGTACAACACATTGGAGATTACTGACCTTTTGCCATCTTTCCTCATAATCATAACATCACCAATACCTTCAGCTGCTAGGGTATTGTCATTTGCAAATTTTACCATATTTTTCATTGAGGGCTTTATATTGACGAACCAGTCTTTCCTTCCAGACATATGTGATGAACATCCTGAATCCAAGTACCATTGGTCCTTGAATCTATCTTCATCTCTTTTTGTGACCATCAGCATCATCTCTTCTTCTTCTTCATGTTTTGCAAGCTTTGCATCACTTTCTTGATTCTTTCGTTTTTCTGGAAAATCACTCGAATAGTGATCATACTTCTGACAATTGTAACATTGAATGTGACTCTTATCAGGTTTTCTACCACCACCTCTTCCTCTATTTGCAACACCACCTCTTTGGTTGCCTTGGTATGGTCTTCTTTGATTCGACACGTTTCCTTCAATCTGGTTTCCTCTACCATTCGATTTGTTGTAGCCACCTCTACCTCTGTCGAAACACTTTCCTTACCTTTGGTCTCTTTTGCTGAATGTGCCTGCAAGGCCACATCACTCTTTGATTTTCCTGTAGCTCTTTCGTTCATTCTTTGTTCATGAGATTCAAGCGTCTCTTGAAGCTCTTCCTTTGTCAATTTCGATAAGTCTTTCTCCTCTTATATCGCCACCACTATGTGGTCGAACTTAGGAGCTAAAGATCTCAAGATCTTCGACACAACAGCTCTTGTTGTTAACGCTTCTCCACATATCTTGATTTGATTTACTAATTTTGTAACTCTAGTGAAGAAATCAGATATGTTTTCACTGTCTTCCATCTGAAGCAGTTCATAGGTCCTTTTGTGAGTTTGTAACCTCACTTCTTTCACTTTCTCAGCGCCTCCAAAAGAATTCTCAAGGATTTCCCAAGCTTCTTTTGCAGATTCTGAATCACTAACCTTTTCGAAATTGTCTGGGTTGACACATTGATGAATTATAAATAATGCTTTATAACTCAGCTTCTCAGATTCTATGTATTTCTTCTTTTCTTCTTCTGAAGCGTTTTCTCCAAGCGCTTCGACTCCATCTTTTACAAGGTCTCAAAGACCTTGACACCTGAATAAGACTTTCATCTGTTTGCACCAATTCTAATAGTTGTCAACTTTCAGAATTGGTAGGGTTGCTGGATAATTTGCATTCCCATAACTTGTCATCGTGAATTCTTCAATCGTTCTTGATTGACACTTCCCTTGAATCGAAACAAAGCTCTTGATACCAGATGTTGGAAATCCACCAACACTCTATTCTACCACAATGACAATTTAATTATGAGACAAACAAAGAAAGAAGACAAGACAAATTATTTCTGCAAAGTTTCTCTCTGCTCACAAACTGTGAAAACTTTATTATTCACTTTGCAACTGCAAAATACTGTGAATGACTTTCTTGACTTGCTTACAAAAATAGGGGTTACTCCCTCTATTTATAACTGAGCTTACACCCTAAGCCCAAAGTCCAAAATATCTTTTTGTTACTAAATCAAATCTAATTTATTCTAGACTTAAATCAGATCTATTTAAATCTAAAATAAATCAAATCTTTTCGACACATAGTTTCGACACATTGGATTACAATTTAACAAGTGCCCCCACATGGGTCACAATCTCGCCCTTTTATCCAAGAAAGTGTTAAAAAGTATTCCCAACACTACTATTAATAATGAGAATTTTTTAATCCATCTCATAATTTTCTAATATACCACGTGGAGTTTTAAAAATATTTTCAATTTTCAAAAATATATTTTCGATTCACACTTCACACATATAAAATTCTTCTGTATTTACAAATTAATTTTTTTTGAAAATATATTTCCAAAAATTTTTAAAAATACATTTTCGATTTCTACTCATATAATCCAAAGAGGCTATAGTTTCATTGATGTTATAGTTTCATTGATGCAACTTGTCTCATTCGACGTGAATAATTGACTCAGAGAAAGATTTGCATCAAAATTTACAAAAGATACTATTCAAAAGACACTATTCTTTTCTATATAGTTTCAGAATTTTAAAAATATCATTTTTTTCATTAAAAAAATAAAAATTACAAAAGATACTATTCATTCATAACAAAACAATGCGTATGTATGCATCAGGGAAGAGAAAAATAACATCTCCAAATAAGTAACCAAAATATATTTCCCCATGATTTCAAAAATGTATTTCAAAATATATTAAACCGAAAATGAAGACATATCTCAAAAATGAAAAAAAATATATAAATGTGCAGAATGCGAACCAAAAATATATTTCTGATTTTTCAAAAACATTTTTAAAATTACATAAGATCTTTTTTTCAACCACTGGCTTAAGAAATCCTCTTAATAATATAGTATCATGTTAATGGAAAAACATTATCAATATATCTTAATATAAAATCAGAAACATATGCTTGAAATATGTTGTATGATGCCAATTCTAATTAAAAAAAAACAATTAAGTTTTCTTATTTGCACATGTATTAAGTTTGTTACTTAATGGGAATAGTATCCAAATTGTAGCAAGGGTGAGTACAATTACTTTCCTCTTTCATTTCATTAAAGGTGAGAAGAGTTGGACAACTTGCAATGGGTGAGTCAGATAAAAAAGTTTGGGGCAAACAAAAAAAATCAACCCAAATGTCATGATGTGTTTGTTTTAGGTTATTGCTGCAGGCTTATTTTGAAATGTCCGGTACACCACTTGTTCGCATATTATAAGTTGCCTAAACTAACATCATTCACTATTACAGGTACATCACCATTTACATTTTACAATACATTACATACATTAATGTTTATGATCTTTACTGAATTCTTCAAACTATGTAACTATGTTTCGTGTTTGATTGCGAGAGCCTCAGTTTACACTGATGTCAAACACTCCACAAATCTGTGATCTGTGATTCCAAATACTTCCCAAGTAATGCACGAGGTAACAGAATCCAACAGCTCAAATCAAACAAGCATTGTCCAATTTATTCCACCATAACAGCCTTGGAGCTGTCAAAATCTGATGAATATGAAGGAGGTAGATTTACAACCCCAAGAATTATGAGTTAACTTTGTTAACTTTTCCTCCCAATGCTTTCAGATTCGTAGCTTTTCCTCCCAATGCTTTCAAATTCGTAGGTTTTCCTCCCAATGCTTTAAGATTCGTAGCTTTTCCTCCCAATGCTTTCAAATTCGTAGGTTTTCCTCCCAATGCTTTCAGATTCGTAGCATTTCCTCCCAATGCTTTCAAATTCGTAGGTTTTAGCTCAATGTACTTCCCTAGCCTGAAACAAAAATACAACACATGAAAACATGTTAATCCACTTGTACCACAAAATTCAATTGGAATATTTTTATTGGAATTCTATTTGAATATTACTGTGCTACTTTTACTAAAAAAAAGACCACCTTGAGAACTAAGGATAATTAAAAGCACAAAATTTACCCAAGGTCTGGTGGAAGTCTAAAACCAGCTATGCGAATTCGCTTTAATGAATTAATCTGAAACATGAAACAGAATCAATAAATTAATGTGTATAGTTACTCAAGTTTCATTTTTCTGATGTGTTTTACATTAAGCACGGCTGTCAACACGAGTTTACTCATCATAAAACAGGGATAATGTCAGACAACATGGAGAGTATTATATTCAACTAATATCAAGGAATTATTCAATTTCTAACAAGATCGATGGTCAAAAATGACTCATGAAAATGCTATGGATGCAACGATTTTGATTAAATATGATACGAGAAAAATAGCAATTAGCATAATCAAATAATCTCCTAAGAAATGTGAAACATGGAAATGTTTCCCAGTATTATTGGAATTGTGTTCACTGTGTAATATTTCGCATAAGCATTATAACTTTTTGCATTTTGAAGGTCATTAAAGGAATTATATGTATAATTAAAGCTTACCTCAAGTCCAGCATTTTTAACAAGTTCGCGAACTTCATGCTTCCTTCCATCATGAACCTATGAGAATCCAAATTAAATCAATCAAGCAAATGTCAAATAAGTACTTTTTTTCATCATCTGACAATTCATGTGCTCTAACATGTATAAAAAGCAAATTCAACAGACTCAGAAGCCATTTTGAGAATTCAGATATGAGGATGTCAATGGAAGTGAAGTGAAGTGGGGGTAAGCAGTTCGAGGATGTCAATGGAAGTGAAGTGAAGTGGGGGTAAGCAGTTCGAGGATGTGGATCCTTAGAGAAATGGGGGTAGGTGACGTGGGATCCTTTTTAATTTGGTTCTGTTTGAATCGCTATAAGCATGAATATTGGGAGAGAGGGGGCATGTATTATTGGTTGTTAGAGTAAGGAGAACATGTTCTCTGGTAGGTAGGAGTTAATGGCTCTGGCTGCATTGCATTGTAATCATTCACACTCAATTATTTTATTCAATAAATTACCAGTTTCTATATTTTTTTCCTGAGTTTCTATCAGGTGAGAAAATTAAATTACTCAAAATTATGACTATTAAAACATTTCAACTTATGACTGCAGTCAAAGAAAATCATAATTTCAATGAAGAGATATCTAGATATGTGTGGCAGCATCCACTAGAACTGATCTTAAGTAGTATCACAAGAAACACAGTCAATAACTTCATTCTTAACCTATACCATATTCCTAAAACATTTATGAATGGATTAAAAGACAACTTCATCAATGTTACACATCAAGAAACTATAGTTCAACTGTTCAAGTGAGATACCACGTCATCGTAAAACAGTGTTGTGATTACAAACTCAAAACCAGTGTTAGGAGGTAGAGTTGATATAGCAGATCAAAAACAGATATATTTACCACAATACGAAGTCGAGATCTTTGCGTATCTGGCATACGTGGAAGTAACTCCACACTATCGGGTACACAACGGACACCCTCAATTGTTGTTCCCTCACTTATGGCCGTTAAATGCCTCTTATGAACTAGACCATTAACTGTTGCAATGTATCTGATAAAACAAATATGATGTTTCAAAAAAGGAGAGAACTCACAGGAGTGAAGAACTTTCTTTATCTTAGAAATAATATTACAAGGACTTAAAAAGAATGAAAAACTCGGGAAAAGAAAGACACGAACCAAACTCATGACTCACTCTTTTGAAAAATTAGATGACGGATGTGAAAGTTTTTGAGCAAAATCTCCTGTAAACAAGAACCATTGGATTAAGTATTAGATGAAACTGTTCGAGTTTAGACATGGTTTACTAACAGAACCAATATTCATTCAACAAAGATAAAATCATAAAATTGCTTTCACAAGAAACCACATACCATCATTAGTCACAATAAGTAACCCAGTAGTAGCAACATCAAGGCGCCCTACAGTAAATAGTCGTGGTGGGGGTACTCCTGAATGCTTCTTATCCTAGAAATACAATTGTTTTCAAGTGAAGGAGAGAACATCATTATAATTAGAGAGAAATATAGAACTACGTCCCTAGAAAAGACCGGAAAAATAGCACATCATCTCAAAAGATTTCTACAATGCCATTGCAGGCATAATGCCACAAAGTAAAAATAAAAGAAAAACAGAACATTGTCTTTAATAAATCATCAATAAAGCTCAAAGTAACACATACCCAAGTGCTCAAAAAATCATCAAATAGACTAATAACAGATTTAGATTCCTTTTCCCCAGATGAGCATATGTACCTGTGAAAAAGCAATTGCATCACTTATAAGATTCCATGAGAAGATGAAACTAAATTATAAATTCATTTGCATGGACATCATATATGTGCACGACATAAATAGTACTAGCATATTACATACCCTTTTGGCTTGTTCAAGGCAAGATAAACTTTGTGAGGCTGCCTCTTAGGAAGGCGGCTCCCATTGACATAGATAATATCCTTTGAGGGATCCACTTTAGTCTACACACCACAACAGTGTTTTTCTTATAAGCCAAAAAAAAAAAACGTTTCTAGGATAAAAAATTTGAAAAATAAAATCATCTAGCTTTCTTAAAAGCTTATTATGTTAAATATAGTTTGATAATTATTAGAATTACTCAATGAGTGTAGGATGCACCTTGTATGGTGATCCTAAGGTATAACTAATATAACCCAGAGTTATTAATCCCGGATAGCGGAGCGGAGCGGCCGACCCCCGCGAATGGGAAAAGTGGGAATAGCGGGATAACTTTTTGTATACTAATAATTATATAATAATCTATAAAACATATGTCATGTAATACTAAACTAATTTTACAACACTCATAAAATATTTATAAAATCTAATATCAAACCAAGAACAATGCTTAATCAAGATTCAAAACATAAAGATTCAAATTCAAACTTAGTACTATCATATGAAAATTCAAGCAAACATAGAAATCATGTAGCATCATCAAAATATTCCTCCAATTCTTCATTTTCTTCATATTCCTCCAATTCTTCATCTTCAACTTCTTCAAAATAGAAAGAAACGATGTTTACAACAAAACAAAAATAGAAGAAGTAGAAGGTAGAAAGAAAAGAAGTAGAATAAGTTGAAGAATTAGAAGAAATTACCTGAGATGGCAGAAGAAGATGGAGGAAGAATCGAAGAAGGAGAGTTGCAGGGAGATGGCGGCGGAATCGTAGAAGGAGAGTTGAGGAATTAGGGCACGATAAAACACAGCGAATGAGAGAGAAAGAAAACAAAAACTGTTTTAAAAGAGGCATTTAAGTAATTTGGCCCAGAAAACTGTTTTAAAAAAAAAAGAGAACCGGAGCCGCTCTGCCCGGGAACTTCCCTCTACCCGCTACCTGGGAACACGGCTGAAGCGGCCGCTTTTTCATCTCCGCTACCGCACCCTAAATAGCGCGCGGAGGGGTGCCGCACCGTTACGGTGTGCCGCTATAGCGGCCGGAGCGCCCGCTATTGACAACTCTGATACAACCAACTTCAGACGAATCCTAACTAACTGGTATACTACATTAAACAATATTAACCGTTTCTAATTAAGATCTAACTATATATATATCTAACAACTTAGATAAATTGAACCTAAAAGCTCTAATCCATGAAGTCATAATATAACAACAGTATGCTATTAAACAAAACTTGGAGAAATTTATTAACAGCAGGGAACAAACCTGAGGTGTATTACAGACGGAACCGTTAACTGTAACCTTGCCTTCAAAAATAAGCTCTTCACAGCTTCTTCTGGACGCAACTGAAAACAAAACAGCTTACTTATAATCAATTTTGATTCTGTTGTTAATTCTCTTTTACTGCATAAAATCATCAAATTGTCATTATAGTCCAAATACTACTAAATTGCCACCTCCAGAAGCAGCGAGAACCTTGCTGAGACGCGTACCGGAGTCCTTAAATTTTTCATTGTAGAATCTCCTTGCCGCTTTGGAATACTGCGGCGGCGCCACCTCACGGACCTTAGTTTCCTTTTCATTTTTCTTCTTGGCTTTCACAGTTTGGTTCTTCTCTGATTTTTTGGTACCTGTTGAGGCATTGGCCATGGCTTTGAGAAAGGTTGGAGGAGATTCAGACGAGAGTTTGAAGTTTGCATCTTCGCCTCGAACATTCCAAGGGATGGTGTCACCGTCGTCGGGGAAATGGTTCGGGTTATCGAGTTTAGGGTCGGGTTTAGGTTTAGGGTTGGAGGGAGAGAAGGAGATGTTGAATTTGAGAGGAGAAGAGGGGAGGGAAGAGCAGGTGAGGCGAGGGAGAGTGCGGAAGGAAGAAGTGAGTTTGGTTGATTTGGTGAAATAGAGTGCCGTCATCGCCATTGTTGCCGCCGAACCCATTGTTCTGGCGCGGCGGTGGTGGTGGTTTTTTAAAATTGCAGAGAAATGGAAAAGAAATAGTAGTGCTCTAGTTTCTATCTTATCCGTTGGGTTTGCATTCTGAGTTTTGTTACAAAGAGTTAATCCATTTTTTTAAGTAACATACTGACGGTTTTGCAGTGATACGAGTATTTGTTTACATATTTTAGAAATCAAAATATAATTCATTTTCGTTTTTAGTCTTTCAATTTTTATTTTTTTTTAAAGATTAGTCTTTTTAAAAATTTTCATCTATATTTTTAGTCTTTCCTATTAACGTAGTTAACCGAAATTGATATGAAATATTGTAAGTTAGTGTGACAAAGTACTGACATCATTCATATATTTAAACCCATAAAATTTATAGTTAATCAAAAAATGACTGCAAAGAGTATGAAACTCAAAATAAAGAAAATGACTGCAGGTTTTAGAGGGACTTAACGAAAGTAGGAAGGATTTTTTTCTATTGATGGTGATAATTATATGAGCCATGATCCATTAACATCAAGTATAAGTGAAAAGATTTGCCCCAAATTTGAGTTTAATAAAGTTAGTCAATCAATATTCTCAAATGAATACGTTTTCCCTATTTTATATGTCATCACGGTAAAAAAAAACATTGCATTCTTTTATTCATATGAATTTCATAATTTTATTTAAACATGCATAAAACTACCATATCAATATTAATATAAGGGCTCCTTCTTTCAAATACACAAGGGAATGAAGCACCAACTAGAGGTGCTATAGAAATATGTTCATATATGATGAGGTTATTTGTTGCAATTCTAATGTAACTTTTTCTCTTCCAACACTACTGTCATAGCAGAAAGTGTTCTAAACTAAGGAAAGGAAGGAGTAATCTAGAAGAACTATCATGCTTAGAAACTTTGATATTACAAGATCCCATAAAGCTCAAAGTTTAGCCATGGCCACAAGGGGGCATGAATTAGAGGGTGAAAACAAGTGACCTTATTGTGACATCCCACAAGAGGGTATTTGAGAGAGATACAAATGGAATTAATTTGTCATTTTGTCAATTGAGATATTAGGGTTTATCAACACAAAGATAGATACTACTGCATTCTTCTAAAATCAGAATTTTTGAAATAAATTTGTTGTTGATTAGCTAGGATTTTAACTATCAATTAGTTATGAATTTTAAAGGTTTAAATATGAGGTTGATCTTAGCCACGTGACATGACATATCAGTATTTTGTCACGCTGACATTGTCACGTGGCGTGTCACGTCAACTTATGTTAACGGACATTTACATGAGACACCAAAATTATAGACGGAAAATTTTAGGAGGACAATTTTTAAAAAAAAAACTTTTGAGAGACTAAAAATGAAATTAATTATATTTGAGGGACCAAAAATATTAACCCTTTAAAAATATTGATAAATTTCTATTTCTAATTTTTGGATCAATATTTTCATTTTCTCCATTTCATATAATTTCCATAACAAAAATAATATAAAATTTATTCAAATTTTATTATCTTTGACTCATTATAATAATCAAAATTAATTATAATTAAATAATAAAATATGATATTTTAAATTAGTTAAATTATAAATATTGATATTTCAGATGTTTATAGGTGAAATGATGAACTTATTCAATATTCTCAAAATTAATTAATACAGAATAAAATATAATATTTTTGTTATAGACATTATAAAAATATTATTTGGATCAATAGTAAATATTTTCTTATGTGTTAATATTTTAATGAAACAATATATATTTTTTTCATATATAATTATTATTTTTGATTTTGAATCATTTATAAAAATACTTGAATTAATAGTAAATATTTTTCTGTTTATAAAAACAACAATGTTTATAAAAATATATGGATGAACAATACATTTTTTACGTATAAAAAATATATGGTTGTTTTGACACTATTTATAAATAAAAAAAGATCAACAGTAATTTTTTTTCTATTTATACAAATATTTGGACTTTTCTTTTATATATATATATATATATATATATATATATATATATATATATATATATATATATATATATATATATATATATATATATATATATATATATATATATATATATATATATATATATATATATATATATATATATATATATATATATATATATATATATATATATATATATATATATATATATATATATATATATATATATAAATTTTGTTTTACTTCATTTTTATTAATTGAGAATTAATAAAACAAAATATATTTTGAATATTACCATTTATCTTTCTCATAGTTAAATGATTAATATATATTTTTCTCGTATATACATCAATAACATATATTTAATAAATCATTAGTATGAATGATCTATTTCTAACTATATGAACAAACAATCATTATTAAAATTGCATTATCTTTCATTTACTAAATCTAATTAAAAAAATCAAATTGGACATATAGAACTCAAATTAGAACTCAAAATGACATATAGAACTCAAATTATAATGTAAGAGAAATTATTTCATTTATATGTGAAAAATATTCGTACATATAGAACTCAAATTGAAATTATTATATGAAGACAAATCATTATCAAGAGAAGTTTACAAAACAAAATTGAACTGATACTTTATGAATACAAATTAATGAAATTATAATGGGAAAATAGTAAACGAAGTTGTAAAATGGTCTATGACAATTCATTAGAAAGAACTCTCAAAATGACATTGTTAAGGAAGTGCATATTGTGTATCTCTTGTGATGAGATGTTATTTGAAAACTTCCATTAACAACATGAGTCATTTAACAGTGCATATTAGACAGCGCTTTTATACAAAAGCGCAATTACAAATGAATTTAAAAAAAAACATGAAAACTGTATAAAATAATTAGTAAAAGCGCTGCTAAAAATATGACCTTAGGAGCGTTTTTAAAAAGCGCTGCTAAAGTATTACTTTAGAAAGCGCTTTATCAAAAGCGCCGGTAAAGGTCCACTTTAGACAGCGCTTTAAGAAAGCGCTGTCTAAAGTCATAAAAAATTTTAAAAAAAAAATTAGAAAAGCGCTGCTAAAGGTCCATATTAGCCAGCGCTTTTAGAAAGCGTTGTCTAAAGCCATATAAATGAAAATTAAAAAATAGAATCAGTGTATACTGTTTCTATTTCACAGATTCACAAACAGAAAGCGTAACCCTTTCCCTCCTTAAACAGAAAGCGTAAACCCTTTCACTCTCCTTATGTCTTAGAATTGTTAACTGAAGGCTCGGGCTGTTACACTAACATCTAAGATATTATCCTCCTATTGATGTCTAAACTGAGTTATATGTATGCATTTTGATTTTTAGATCTTGGTAGGGCTTGATATATAACAGCAACACTTTTAGCATTTAGCATTATTGCATTTTCTTTTGGTTCTTTGTTTTGGAATAAAAAAGATGATATATATGATGGATTTTTTTGTTATTTTAATTGGTTTCTGAATTGTTTATCATGTTTATATTTTCCATGAACTAGTATTTTTTTTACTAGTATTTTGAACATATATATATATATATATATATATATATATATATATATATATATATATATATATATATATATATATAAAACTTGTTTTTAATGATCCCTTTGTATTGGTGTAGTTAGTCGAAGACCATCACCGATTCGAAGAACATCAAAGTCGTATCATCCGCCATCGACACCAATAGCCCTTTTTTTTCTTTGGTAAGTCAAGTTCAAATTCTATCTGTATCGATCAATTAAAAAACACAATTATTTTTATATAGATATATTTATTTTTAGTCCATGTTGTTAACTCTAGAAATAAATTTCTAGAAATAATTCGTTTAATTCAAACAAAAAGAGAATAATCCGTTTATAGTGTTTTTGTTTACTTGAATAAGTAGGAAAAATGGATTAAAAAATGGATGTTTGCCAATCGATTGTCACAAGAGTACGAGAATGGGGTATTGGAATTCGTTAAGTTTGCTGTTGAATATGCCAAAGACCCCAGTCGAATGAAGTGTCCTTGCTTGGGTTATTGTTATGTGGGTCGGGTTAACGCAAATGGATTGAAATTGCATTTACTAATGCGTGGAATTGATAGAAGTTATACGTGTTGGATATTTCATGGTGAAAAAAGTAACGACAACGTTGAACCGGGGGAGAAAAGTAGTACGGCCTATACTTCAGACGACAAGGACACAGATACATACAATTTTTATCGAGTCGAAGAGATTGCAGACGCACTTGAAGAAGATCTTCAGGATTGTCCCAAAGGTTTGAGAGATTGGTAAGTAATGCAGAGAAACCGTTGTATAAAGGTTGCACTAAATTCATAAGATTGTCTGCGGTATTAAAGTTGTACAACTTAGAGGCGGACAATGGATGGTCAGATAAAAGTTTCAGAGTTATTAGCCCTTATGAGAGATATGCTTCAGGAGGATAATGTTCTTCCTAATATAACTTATGAGGCCAAAAAAATGTTGTGCTCTATTGGCATGAGCTATGATAAGATACCTGCTTATCCAAACGATTGCGTTTTGTTTCGAAACAAATATGCATCGTTAAATGAGTGCCCTAAATGCGGTTTGTCTCGACATAAGAAAAAATTGTCTCCAGCAAAAGTCTTATGGTATTTTCCTATAATTCCGAGATTTAGGCGCATGTTTCATAGTGAAACCGATGCAAGACACCTTACATGGCATGCAGATGAAAGAATTATTGATGGAAAGTATCGACATCCGGCAGATTCACCATAGTGGTCGAAAATTGATAATGATTATCCTGATTTTGGAGAAGAAGCAAGAAACCTTCGCTTGGCTTTATCTACCGATGGGATGAACCTGCATGGTCTTCAAAGCATCTCACATACCACATGGCCTGTGATTCTTATGATTTATAACCTACCTCCACGGCTATGTATGAAGCGTAAGTACATGATGTTATCTATGTTAATATTTGGGCATAAACAACCGGGGAATGACATAGACGTATACTTGACGCCTTTGATCG